AAGGAGGTAGTGGGGAGGAGGAGAGAGGAAGGGGAAGTTGAGAAGAGAAGGATTACAGAGGGAAGAAAGGAGGTAGTGGGGAGGAGGAGAGAGGAAGGGGAAGTTGAGAAGAGAAGGATTACAGAGGGAAGAAAGGAGGTAGTGGGGAGGAGGAGAGAGCGAGAAGAAAATGATGGATAAGGTACAAATACGGTGTATGGAGAGCAGAAGAGCCAATAATTGTTTTTGGGAGTTGATGGTAAGACGAATTGATGTAAACATATAATAATATAATACTATGTTGGCTATGTAATAGTATACAAGTGATTATATGTTATGAAAATGAAAAAATAAAAACTTTATGTATGAGAAGGGGAGATAATAAAGAAAATATTGGATTGTGCAGAAATGAATAGGTTAACACTGAGAATAAAGGACAAAGAGGAATCGGTGTACTTCAGGACTTGGGGGTGATTTTATGATTGGTTAGAAAAAGGAATATAAATAAAAAAGATTTCAGATTAAGCAACCCATATGATACATTATCAAATCTAGGGGAGGTAAAGGGAAAAATAGAAAAGTATTAAGATACAAATATAGTTTAAAAGATGATACAAGTGGAATTATAGAGAAATAAAAAATGTAGAAGAGGAAAAAAAAATTTACATAAATACGAGACCGGAATCATCGGAATTTCTCCCTGAAAATCCATCAGAGTGAAGAAGAAAATAAGCAAGGGCAACAAAGGAAGGAAGGAGAAAGAGGAGGGAAAAGAAGAAGGGGTAAAGGAGAGGAAGCAAGGGAGGGGTAGTAAGAGTAGGAGAGAGGGTAAGGAGGAGAAGAAGAGAGGAGTGGGGGAGAGGGAGGGGAAGAAGAAAAGATAAAGGTGAGGAGGAAAGAAGAAGGTAAAGAAGGGAGGTTGAGAAGAAAAATGGAGTAGGGTTGTTTCAAAATAAGATGGATGTACGGGATGGAAAGAAAGTGATTATGCTTTTTATGTGTTTAAACAGATTGTGGTAAATGCTAGCAAATAACCGATAAATATTAAGAGTACTCATGAGAGTCACCATCAGTGAGCTATTGGACAGCACTACTTGGTCTATTGTGGGGATGTTTGGGTGGTTTAGAGGCGGGGAACTTTTTGGTGAGTGGGGGTGTGTTTGGGGATTGTTGTATGTTGGGCCTGATCTCTGGGTGTTATGTGAATTTCGTTGTATGTGTAAACTGTATATATATATGTACAATGACAATAAAGTAAAGTAAAGTAAAGTGAATGTATATTTGTGAATGTATATGGAAAGAAATTTTTTTAAACTTTTTATTAAAAATGGGGGAGAGCTATCACGCTCAGTTTTCGGCTGCCACTGCCTCCTGCAACCCTCTGCCAGTGAAAACGGAGCTTGGCCCTCCAAGCTCTGTTTTCGCTGGCAGAAGCACTGTGGGCCGGTCATTTGCTTTTTCCAGGTTGGCTCCACGGGCTAGATCTAAGGACCCAGCAGGCT